TCCCCCTCACCCTGGTGCCCATGGGGGGCCCGTGGCTGACATGGCCCTGCGCCCCGGTACCCATGGGAGTCAGGGGGGGCCTGTGGCTGACGTCCCCCTCCCCCCAGTTCCCCTGCGCAGCAGCTCGGTGTCAGTGTTGATTCGAGGCTTCGTGGCTGACATGGGCTGCGAGCTGCTCTACAGGAACGAGGAGCCGGGGCCCGTGGAGGCCGTGTTCAAGTTCCCCGTGGATGCCGAGGCAGCTGTCTACGCCTTCCAGGCCCGTCTGGGGGGGGCCTGCATCCAGGCCCAGCTCCACGAGAAGAAACAGGTGCTCGGGGGCAGTGGTCCCGGGGGGGAGAGAAGAGGGGGCGGGGCTGGGGGGATCTTGGGGTGACCCCGTCTCTCCCGGCAGGCGCAGGAGGTGTACGGGGATGCGGGGGGCAAGGAGCTGTTGGAGGCAGGGGGATCTCGGGGGGCAGGGTGATCTCGGGGTGACCCCGTCTCTCCAGCAGGCGCAGGAGGTGTACGGGGACGCGCTGGCCGGGGGGCAGGGGGATATCAGGGACAGGGGGATGGGGGGCAGGGGGATCTCGGGATGACCCCGTCTCTCCCGGCAGGCGCAGGAGCTGTATGGGGACGCGCTGGCCGGGGGGCAGAGCTCGTTCCTGCTGCAGCAGGAGGGGGCCGGGGGCGATGTGTTCAGCTGCTCCCTGGGGAATCTGCCCCCCGGGGAGGAGGCGGTGCTGACCCTGCGCTATGTCTGCGAGCTGCCGCTGGAGCCTGACGGGGCCGCCCGCTACGTGCTGCCGACCGTGCTGCGCCCCCGCTACACGCCCCCGGTGAGACCCACAGCCCCCCCTGCACCCGTTCCGTGCCCTCTGGTGAGACCCACAGATCCCCTACCCCCGTCACGGTGAGACCCAGAGCCCCCCCCACGTGCCCCATGGTGACAGATCCCCCTGCCCCTCCCACGTGCCACACGGTGAGACCCACAGCCCCCCCTGTGCCCCCGCTCCGCGCCCGACATTGAGACCCACAGCCCCCCCTGCACCCGTTCCGCGCCCTCCGGTGAGACCCACAG